ATCGCATAACTTATAATTATCTCTCGACCTCTTATAATGTTTATGTCAATTATTGCACGAGATAAAATTATACATCATCTCTCGGTTTATTATTCCTAAATCAATTGATTGTTGCGCAGATAATTAAAGCATTAAACACATAATAATTAATTAACAAGTATTAAAAATGCATGAAAATCTTGAAACTAAATATATAACAAAAATCCAAGTTTTATCATCAATTCTAACAATAAAAATATTTAGCAACTCATAATATTGAATTTAAATATTAGAAATTGGAAAGAAATCATCAAGAATTGACGAAACATGATTAATTCTTGGCTAAAATTGTTTCAGCACTTTCTTCTCTCTCTGCGTGGAGACGTTCTGCATATATAATATATTATCCATTGTCAATTAATTCTCCAAAGATGCTGCCTCAGTTTGTTGCCACTTATGCGTGTGTATCTATATGAAATAGTCTCAGATTCAGTCACCTCCTGTGCACTTTCTTCCAATTAAGCATCTTTTGACTTTTGTGGCTATGTATATATTATATTAAGAATTATTCTAATTGTACATAGATATACACATAAAGCTTCACATAATGTGAGTGGGGTGGGGCCCGCGATACTGTAGCATGGGGCCCACCCCCACTCATATTATGTGAACCCCTGTGTGTACTTCTATGTACCCCTAGCATAGCTCTTATATTAATGATCAATTCCAGAGACTGTCGGCTCTCTCTCTACTCTGTCAATTGCTGCAGCGCAGCTTCCACACGTGTATTATGTATAATATTATTTATGCCTCAATTTCTCCTGTGGTTGTCGGAAATCTGTGCGTTTTATTATATTTATAAATCTCAGCCTCTCTCTTCTCTTGCCTTGAAAACTGCCAGCTGCCCCCTTTTTCCTCTGTGTATGTGGTATATATATACCCTAATTCCCAGCTAATGTCTGGTCCAATTTGATGTCCAATAAAACTCCAATATTTAATTAAATTCATTCTTCTTTTCAAGCTCAAAAACTTTCATGTAATGCAAGTTAATCCTTGAAATAAATTTATTTGTGCAGCCCATGCTAATGTAGTCCTTGTACTTTGGATTTCACCATTTTTTCGTCATTTT